CATTAATGATGGGGGACGACAGCCCATTTGACAGACCGTGGAGTGTTCTTTTGCTCGAGCTTTCATATGCTCCTGGATAGTTTCGTGCTTTCTTCCATTCTTTCATGCCTTGTCTCGGTCGCATGGTTGTTGTATCTCTGCTTAAAGGGTGTTTCCGCAAAGCCGAGGTACCCGTGTCGCCGCTCTCAGTTCCTGTGTGCTTTTGCCTTGTACACGATGCATCGTCTTTGGAGGTCCCGTTCAGTGAGCTGGTGCTTTTTTTCGGCAGCTACATCGTTTGTCAGGGACGTTCTTGTCCTGTGTTTGTCACTTCCTATGAACATGGATATTATGGTACGAAAGATGCTGCAACATCGGCGGAGTTAAGTGAAGAAATTGTCTGCACTGAACGTAGGAGCTACTGCTTCCTGTTGACTGACTAGACACTTGACCGACTCACAACTGCGTCTGGAGCACACTAGAAAACCATCGTGCTCTACATCCGGCTAACAATTCGGCGACACTGGATGCAGACAAAAATGGTCAATACCAACACAAGATCGGATCCGGTCTCGAATTGTAGACACGAAAACAAGTTTGACCTGTCTAAAATATTCACCATCATTCACATTATTGCTTTTTCAACATGGCGCCACCTGTACCAGGTTTGGCGTCACCGTGCTTTCTCTCTCCCTCTTCACGCCTGATACAGTATGTCATTGCGTTACTGTCGCAATCGCCATCGATTACTCAGTGCCACTGCCCTGTTATCGCCTCTATTCTCATCTTTATTCGTTAACTGTCATAAATAATTCCACTGCACTTTCCCATAGACACATCTACACTTCACACATACAGACTTTATTCAACACTAGCACAAAGTAGCTAGACCTGCTCGTCGAGGATTCGATTGTAAATGCTGCTATCTGATGATTGCTGAAATGCGTGAAATGTAAAGTTACATTTGCACAGCCTTTCGCCTCTGTCGTGCGTTGAGTTCTCCACCTGGAGCAGCCTAGATTGGCCTTGTTTGTACATGAATATAAGCATGATTTAAGTGTCGAGCAGTCTTGTCTTCTGTAATGGGTAGCCGAGGATTGAGGCTCCAGTCTCTCCGGGGGCGTGGGTTCGAATCCCACCGCTGCCACCAATGTAATGGGTAACCGAGTGGTAGGCGCGGTGAAATCAACAAAAATTACTTTTATTCTACTTCTTTCAGGTACACACCTGAGATATAATTATTAGTGAAAGAAGAAACGGCAAAATAACTGACTTTCTCTCCGGTGCACACCTGGAGGTTGAATAGCTCGTTATTATCAAAATCTCATCTTAACAGAAATGCAAGTGCCCTGCGTTGGTTTGCGTCGTACCTCGCCGGGAGATCTCAGCGTGTCGTCACGCCAGCCAGCCAGTCCTCAAGTCTTGCAGTGTCTCGAGGAGTTCCTCAGGGAAGTATTTTAGGCCCTACCCTCTTTAATGTCTACCTGAGGGACCTTCCCCGGCTTGCGGAGACAGCGGGTTCAAAATTACTGATGTTCGCAGATGACAAGACAGTCTACTCTAGTGATCCGTCGAAGGCGCGTTCCGAAGCCAAGTTGTCATCGGCACTGGAGATACTAAACAACCACCTTGGCTCCATTGGTATGCAGATAAATACCGACAAAACCGTTGTCATGCAAATCCATCCCAAACGTGCCACAGGGAGTCAGCAACAACAACAAAGGCAACAACTGCAAATCACCTTGTCAAATGTTACGCTAGGGGAAGTGGAAAGCACCAGATGCTTAGGAGTCGTTGTTGACAATAAGCTGTCTTTTGACCAACACATTAACAATGTCGTCCGGAAAGCCTCACGGAAGATCGGTGTACTGCGTCGATCTTTCCGCCAGATGAACCTGTTTGCCCGCCGTACTTTCGTTGTCGGTGTTATTCAGCCTGATCTAGAATATGCTCTCCCTGTATACCTTTCGTTTATATCCGCTAAAAATAGAAACAAGCTAGCCTCACTCCACCGGCGCGCTGTACGAGTTGCTTGTGGCGCATCACCCCAAGCTAATATCACGCCACTTCTTCACCACCTCAATGTTTCCTCTTTCCAATATCGATCAGTATTTTTGTTCCTTGTATTCATTTTCCACTGTTACTGTATTAAGCCGGCTGTTTGCTTGCAGTCCCTCTTTCCCATCTGTACGTCTACCCGAACTACTCGCGGCTCTACAACTCATAACATGAGTATCAATCGCTATAGATCTATGTCTGGCTTTCTGTCCTTTTCAAGTAAATCGGCTCTTCTATTCGGTACTCTTTGTAGTTGTACTTCTGTACTGTTGAGCTATCCGAATTCAAATAAACATTAAAAAAAAAATGCGCAGCAGCTTTTATGCAGCAGACGCCGTACGCTTATATACGGAGATAGACTAACTATACATCAGGCAGAGCTCCATATTAGTTCCGTACTACTTCCGTATTGGTCGGGCAGGGATACTACACTACTAAGGGTTTGCATTCATGAACATATAAGAGCGCTCTGATCTTACAAGCATCATTAGTTTAGACGCAAGTACAGTGACGCTTTGCTTTCAGGTGCGAGTGAAATGGTGTATTAAATTGCCACCTCGTTACATTCGGGAACCTACCATTCGCTAACACCGAACATTATCCAATGCCCTATTTCTCTTTCAAATATATTCAGGTATATCCCCGGTCGTCGTTTTTGGGAATTGTGGTTTAAAGAGTAAATGGAATGAAATTGCGCACAGTTTCCAAACTTTGTGAGCGTATTGTATTCGATTCCCTCTACCTGCACATCGCTCCGGCTCTCTCACCAGCTCAGTCGGGATTCTGCCGTGGTGACTCAACTCAATACCAGGTGACTCGACTTGTCCAAGACATAGCGACAAAGAGGAACTGTGGGGAGCACGTGGGAATGGTGTTTTTCGACTTGGCTAAGGCATTCGACACCGTTTGGCATCGTGGCTTACTTGCCAAGTTGAAGGTCACCTTCCGGGTGGAGGATGCTGCCTTGCGTTGGATATCCTCGTATCTGTCTGCTCGTTCTCAGGCTGTTCGCTTGTTCTATTTCTTGTCTGATCCCCTCCCTGTAACGTCTGGAGTGCCCCAAGGTTCCATTCTGGGTCCTTTGTTATTCTTGCTTTACGTTAATGACCTACCTTCAGTTGTCCCCGATGTTAGTTTGTATGCGGATGACACTGGCCTTATCTGTTCTGATTCCTCCCCTGCACAATTACTCCTTACCATGCAGCATCGCATCAACAGCACTGTGATGTGGATGCAAACGTGGAAACTCCAGCCCAATTTAGACAAGACAGAAGCCATGTATATTTCTTCATCCCCTCCTGATCAACCATTATTCTTCCCTGACTCGACTATGCCTATCCGTGTTGTTACTCAGCACAAACATCTAGGTGTGATGTTTGACTGCAAACTCTCTTGGGCTGCACATGTCAACTGTGTATGCAAGCGAACCAGTTCAGCCTTAGGGGTACTACAACCACATTGCACTCATTTGCCCATCCAGTGTAAACTATTATTTTATCAGTGCTATATTCTCCCTATATTCGACTATTGCGATACCGCTTGGTGTGGCCTTTCTGACACAACTCTGAGCCAATTAGAAGTCCACCATAGATTTATACTTAAAATTCTTTACAACAAGGATCGATGTTTTCCTTCGGATGCCCTTTATCGACTTGCACACACTTCTCCTCTCTCCGTTCGTCATAAGCACCATCTCTGTACACTGGTTCATAAGATATTTCTTCATAAAACCCCTTCACACATGATGAAGTACAATTGGTTTTCGACAAGCTCAACCCGTAACGCGCTCACCCTGCCTCTTGTTAAGTCAGCCCAGTATCTAAAGTCCCCTTTGTTTTCCGGCTACTCTCATTGGTTATCATTACCATACGGTCTGAAAACTTGTTCTTCTATTGGTCAGTTTAAAGATCTACTATCACAACTGAACTAGACGCAATAATTATCATCGAAGAACATTCTCGAATACCTGGGCGATGCACGAATTTTGATAGTGCTCACTTCCGTTAATCGTTTTTCTTTGTAATTTTCCATTCATTTTCTTCTTTAATTCATATTTGCTTTGTTTTCCTGGCTTACTATTGCCGTGGCTGGCTCAACGCCCTTGTCTCAGGGGATTCTGTCCCTGCATTAGCTATGCTTGTCACATGCTATGAGATTGTGTCTAATAATAATAATAAATTGAAGACACCACTGCAGCTGTACTTATGGTTGATAAATATGGTAAAGACGAAGAAGATTGCCTGATGAGTCCAGCGGGGACGAAACGTACGTCGCAATCGAGCTATGTCGTTGCTGTGTCATCATCTATGTGCCATGCGCTACTTGATGTACCAGCCTGCTATGCCGGATACCGCCAGCCATGCATCGACCAGGCGCCAGGCGCAAACTGATGGTGGTGGTGGTGAGAAGGAGAGCTCTGTGCCAGAACTTTGCAGCCTAGAGAGCGTGTGTGGGCAGGCGTGTATTTACCGCCATATTGCCAGGTGTGTCTTCACCACCATATTTATCAACCATAAGTACAGCTGCAGTGGTGTCTTCAATTTCATTCTCCCGAGTCAAGCTCCGTATGTAGACATCCAAGAAGAAGAAGATTGCCTGATGAGTCCAGCGGGGACTAAACGTACGTCGCAATCGAGCTATGTCGTTCCTGTGTCATCATCTATGTGCCATGCGCTACTTGATGTACCAGCCTGCTATGCCGGATACCGCCAGCCATGCATCGACCAGGCGCCAGGCGCGAACTGATGGTGGTGGTGGTGAGAAGGAGAGCTCTGTGCCAGAACTTTGCAGCCTAGAGAGCGTGTGTGGGCAGGCGTGTGTTTACCGCCATATTGCCAGGTGTGTCTTTACCACCATATTTATCAACAGTAAATGGAATATCTAATTTAATCAGAGGAGTGGCCGGTACCGATCTAGATCATTAGAGGTGTTCCTTCAGTTTAATCAATGGATATAGGACCTACCTTTAGGCACATATCGTTGACAGAGGCACCTAACTTGAAAGTTGTTTATCCAGTTCACTAAGCCCTTGTTTGGATCCAAATATCCGTGAGTATAATTAGAATTTTTAAACGGAAGTATATACTGGGATGACCAGGGAAGTCTCGTCGTATGGGTGGACGATGCCACTTCCCATTTCCAAGCACTCCAATCTCCAGCTGTCCATGTACCAGTCAAGCCTACCCAAACAGCGTTAGTTCCCTTTACTGTCAAGTTTGCACACGTCACCTGTGCCATTGTGTGCACAGTCGCTAGTGATCCGCCATATGATTGACATTCTGCTTTTGCTTCTGTCCAAGTTTGAAATCCAAGACGAAAGGTCCAATCGACTTGCCACGTGCGAGCACTGGTCAATGGACAGGCATCCCATTTCACTATACAGAATTACAAATTATGCAGAAGCAAGCACAAGTGTAAGTATATGGGAGCAGTGTAAACAGAAAAAGGAGCAAAATGAAGGATGGAACAAGTTCACCACCGCCTAATTTGCGTAACCCAGGTTATGCATTCAGAAGAAGAACTTTTCCGCACTCAACGTTCTCACTTTAAGAACTACTGCCTTTTACTCTTTTACCTCCCTGAAACGGGATTTTGATCGCGTGTTGTTCATAGTGGTGAATACAACAGACATCTCCATAATATACTGTACTCGCGCAAATAGAGCCATCTCTTGTATAGTTCACTCTTTCTCAAGTTATGCCCCAATCTCTAAGAGACAGTGAAAACACCAAGCTCATTTTCTCTCTCTTGATTAGTATAATCCCCTCCCTCCTCTCAAGCCCTCCCCCCGTAGTTTCAGGATCAAAATCTCAGCTCTCGTTGTCGTATAGGTGAATCGTAGTAGTTTACAGTAAGCTTTCGGCTCGGTGTTTTCTTAGGCTTCTGCCCTTTAAAGATTCCCTTAGTACCCTCTTTCGAACAGCTCGCTCTCTCTTGAATAGTGCTCCCCCATTTGTACCGGACAAAAAGATGTGCCCCAGGGTGACTTTTAGCGCGAAAACATAATATTATAGATTCTTTCCTGAGAAGGAAATAGAATGAAATGATAAAGGAAAAGAAAGAAAAAATTGCAACCGTTAGCGCAAGGACATCCACACGTTCATTTTCCCGAAGTCACCACACGTTTGTCCCTGTCTTCGCCCTTTACCGGGGTTCTAACTTTTCTCCTATGGTCTAATTTCGTCAGCACTGCCCACCGGACTTAGAATAGAGATTCTGCCATCTGTCACTGCGCTCTTTACGCTCCTCGCACTGTCGGAGCCTCTTCTCCACGTGTTCCATCAACCTATCGCATTCAAATCCATACCGAATGCCGTTGGCGATAAAGCTGATTTCCAAATTAGTTTGTTCCTTTGCCATGCTCGCTTCGATCCTGGCGTAGTCGTCAAATGTTGTGAACCCTTCTGATTCTCTAAATTGTCAGGAACGAACGACCACACGGAACGAGGACAACTATTTACTCTTCAACAGTATGTTTCACTTCGATTAACTAATAACTAACACTAAAACTACCAGGTAGTTATAGCGTGAAAATGACAGCGTATATCAGAAAAGCATACACATACAAAATACAAATACAGCGCACATAGCAAATCGCACGTAGCGCATGTAGCGTATACCACGTCGTAAACATCAGCGGCACGGCGGGGTCGATATACAACTGCATTGAAACGAACACAATGTCACAAGCGAGAAGGCCTTTCACACTTGAGAACTTGTGGGTACATAACAGCCGTGGTAGATTGCCCGATGACAAGGGACAGCTCGCCCAGTTTTTTTGGGGTTGGGTTTGAAAATCGTTATTTTACGCACGCATTTTCTGAGTTCTTCTCCAGCGTATGATTTATTGCATTTCAATCCAGGAAAGGGAAATGGACAGTCTGTGCTGTCGAAGAAGTCAGGCAAGGACTCAGCCACTCACAGCTCCGACCTGACACCATTGCCTCCCGACCGCAAGCGGCGGCATGGGGATTCACCTGACTCCGGCAGCCCGCTGCTCAAGAAACTGGACAAAGACCACCAGCGACAGGAGTCTGCCAAGCAACAACAACTGAATTCAGACAGCCAGCAATCATGAAGCTCTTCCTGACCGATGCAGGCGGGCTGCTGTCCAAATTCGGAGAGTTTCAGCGCACCCTGTTGCTCTCAGGTGAGGATGTTGCCATAGTGACTGAGACGAAACTAACAGTGGAGGCATGCTCTCACAGTGCATCTATGATCCCGGGATACTGTGGCCCGATTCGCCGAGACCGAACAGAACACGGAGGTGGCATTGGAGTCTGGATCAAAGCCGGCATCGCGTACCAGCATCTGGATCAGTACCAGTCTGCTGAATTCGAAACAGCCTGGCTCACCGTTGGCCAGTGCAACAGCAAAACTGTCATAGATGCAGCCTATCGCCCTGGTTCCTGCGCTGACAATGATCTAGCTCTACTCGAGCACTTAGACCAAAACATAGATACCATGCGGCAGCATGATAAGCACATGATTCTGGCTGGAGATTTTAATGTTCACAGCACGTCCTGGCTTGGCAGCTCTCGAACGACAATCGCAGGGAAGTTCTTGGAAGGAATCAGTGCAACACACTGTCTTGTCCAGCACGTGACCAAGCCAACCCGTGGGCCAAACACATTGGATCTCGTCTGGTCCGACTTTCCTGGCACTGTCCACACAGCAGTATCATCTCCCATCGGGCGCTCTGACCACTGTGTAGTATTGTCCAACTTTCAGGAAATCACTCCTGTACTGGAGCGGCCAACAAGCAGGAAAGTATGGCGTTATGGCCAAGCAGACTGGGGCAGACTGAGGGCTCATTTCCGCAGCTTTGACGGGGCTGCTGTCGTCTGCGATGTCCCCGAACTTGCATGTGAACAACTCACAACTGTAATTCTGGACGGAATGGACACGTTTACACCATCTAAGACCCTGACAGAACGGACGACAGACCCTTGTTGGTGGACACCTGAGTGCAGCACTGTAGTTCAAGCAAAGACTCGTGCATGGAAACGGTGGCGTCAGCACCCCGATGATGGAGATTTGCGAGCTTCATTAATCGACCTACTGGCCCAAAAAGCTGCTATTTTGCTGCGTGCCCAATCATCACATGATGCTGGTGTCAAAGCTAAGCTCCGCTCAGGCTCACTTAACGACAAGCAGTGGTGGTCCAACATGATGAGAGCTGCTGGGATGGAACGCGCCTCTGAGATACCTCTGCTGAAAGACACCGATGGCACAGAGTATCCAACTCGCCAAGCCAAGGCCAATTGCCTCGCCAGGTACTACTCCCAGAGGTGTCGCCTTGCAGATGATGACATCTCACCAGACGATCTGCCAGAAATGCAGCATTTGGACCGCCATGGTCTTGACCGCATACATTTGTGGCTTGCTGATGTACGCCGCCGTCTAGCCAAGCTGAATACATCGAATGTAACAGGACCTGACAATATTCCAGCAAGAGTCCTAGCTCAGTGCTCCAGTGAGCTTGCAGAACCAGTCACCAAACTGTTGTCACTTTGCTTTCGCCACGGTGTTCAACCTACCAAATGAAGCTGGCCCATGTGGTTCCAGTCTTCAAGGAAAGCCTCCGCGGATCCCATGAATTACCGGGCAGTCTCACTACTATCCATCCTGTCAAAAGTAATGGAGAGTATAGTAAACAAGCAGCTCGTGAATTATCTGGAGCGTTTCAATATTCTGCCCGACAGTCAATATGCCTTTCGGCAAGGAAGAGGCATGTGCGACATCCTCACTGCTTTGCACACTGAGGGGTTCAAGACTGTCAGCGATTGAGGGTACGCTCACATGGTGGCAGTGGACATAGCAGGAGCATTTGATCGGGTATCACACTCTGGACTGATTTTCAAAGCCAAGAACGTTGGCAATGGTGGCTGCCTGCTGCACTTGCTGCAGGATTACCTCCTGAACCGCAAACTATCAGTCCTGGTCCACGGCGACTCATCCTCTCCGGCGCCCATAACAGCAGGTGTGCCCCAAGGCAGTATCCTTCGCCCGACACTTTTCCTCTTGTATGTGTCTGACCTGGATCAGTGCCTGTCGCCCGAGACGCGACTAAGTTCCTTTGCAGACGACACAACCCTCTACAGCCTCATCCGCACGCAGGACAATATAAATGACATGACTGCCGGCTTGCAATCCAGCCTCAAGCGTCTTGAAGAGTGGGGAGAACACTGGCGCATTAGATTCGAGCCCTCTAAATCGCAACTGCTGCTGATGACTACGAAAGCAACTCACCCTGCTGTCCCTGACATCAAGTTTGGACGCATCGCGGTTCCGGAAGCCAACACCATCAAGCTTCTTGGAGTGACATTTGACGCAAAGCTGTCATTCCGGGATCACTTGCACTCAATTGCGACACGTGGCTGCCAGAGATTGGGTGTTCTCCGTCGGGCTTGCCGGGTGTTAGATTACCATGGCCGGCTTTGTGCGCAAAAGGGATTTGTGCGACCCATCCTCCAGTATGCTCCCCTTGTGTGGATGGGAGCTGCATCCAGCCATCTCGCCCGACTCGACCGTGTACAGAAACGTGCAATGGCCATTATTGGCCCTGGTGCCCTTCTCCAAAGCCTGTGCCACCGCCGGATTGTCTCTGGGCTGGTATACCTGTACAAGCTCCAGTGCATCCCAGGACCACCCCAGCTCACCGCCATGATCCCCCCTCCAGCCAACCATGTAGAAGCTCGGCGCACCCGGAGTCAACCCCCTCCGGGCCAGCAGCACCATGTGCAGCTGCAGCAAGTCCTGGACAGGAGAGCACCTGCCTATGCTTCTCGCTCCTTCTCGTTTTCTGTATTCTCAGTATGGAACAGCTTGCCAAGCGAAAATATAAGGGCTCCACTCAGCTTGAAGCGGCTCCACACGTTCAAACAAGATGTCCTTAAGTACCTCACGCACCAACGCTGGCTGATGGCTACCGACTTCTACGGATGAACTCTAGATTGTGGCACGGGTCATGCTCCTTGGTTCGGCTATGCTGATGATATTGGGCTTCATTTACCTTTTATTATTTAATTTTTTTTATCATTAATTTATTATTTAGTTAGTCTTGTTTGTTATGATTTTTTGGTTTTCCACCCGGTTTAGTTATAATTTAAATTATTATTTGGTGCAGCTTTAGCGCTGTGTGGTTTATTATTTTCCTTTTTCTTAATTTCGTATTTAGCGCTTTTGAGCGTCATTATTTTCTTCTCATTATTTCGCAGCAAGTTATTCTTTTGTGGTATTCTCTAGTTTCTGTTTGTTTTGAAGTTGTTCTTGTGCAACCCCCCCCCCCCCCACACACACACACGCACATTTTTCGATGCCTAGTTGCAACGCTGACGCCGAGACCTCTGGTCGGTTGAATTGCTCCCAGCACATCAGCACGTCGTCCCTACATCCCCTATGTTTTGTCCTTTTCCTCGTTTATTTTTGTTCTCCACCTGTATTCCAGTAGGGCTGTGTGAATAGTAAAAAAAATCCATTGTGTTAATTTGCCCATAAAAGAGGCCTGGATAGCTGGCCCATGGTTGACCAGCCGCATTGCTAAGCTGTCACATTGTGTGCCTGCGTGGCGGGTTCTTACTGACCTCATTGCGCTATGTGATTCACCTTTACATCAGGCAGCTGCTGGATCAGCTGCGCTACGTTTATGTTGGTCATACCCATGTAGTGCAAGACTCTGTCGTTCTTCCATAGGCCCATCGCCAAGATAATAATCAACATAAGTACAGCTGCAGTGAGGTATCATTCTCCCACGTCAGGCTGCATGCGAAGACTTTCAAGAAGAAGATTGCCTCATGAGTCCAGCGGGGACGAAACGTGCCTTACAATCGAGCTACTAGTATATCGTTGCTGTGTGATCTACTGTCTACTATATTGAGTACCATTAACCATTCATCGACTAGGCGCCAGGCGTGAAGTGATATTGGTGGAGAAGGTGAGCTGTGCCAGGGTAACTTTGCAGCGTAGAGATCGTGTGTGGGCAGGCGCGTAATCACCGCCATATTTACCGGTGTGTATTTATCGCCATATTCATCAACATAAGTACATTTGAATTGGGGTCTTCAACTTTATTTTACCAAGTGCAGTTCCGTGTGAAGACATCGAATCAGAAGTTATCCTCATTGGACCAGCAGGGACGAAACGTGCGTCTTTATCGGGCTATGTAATTGCCGTGTCATCTACAATTCGCCATGCGCTACCTGATGTACCAGCCTGCTGTGGCAGATACCTCTAAACAAGGATTGACTAGGCGCCAGGCGCGAACTGATGGTGGTGGGGAGAAGGAGAGGTCTGTGCCAGAGTACAATTGCAGCGTAGGGAGAGTGTGTGCACAGGCGTGTGTCTTAGCGTAATGTTAATCAACAAAATTACAGCTGCATTGGAGTCTTGAACCTCCTTCTCCTTAGTCAAGCTCCGTGTAAAGATATCCAAGAAGAAGATTGCCTGATGATTGAGGATGACTGTCTGCAAAGGATTTGTCCATCCAATGGTCGAATATGCCCCCCCCCCCCTACTTTCGTCGATGGGATGGGATCACCTCCCTCATGCCTGGCCATGCTTGATGCTGTCCAGTTGCGCGCCCCTAATGTCATCGGCCCAGGTACCAAACTTCCCAGCCGTACTGTTCAGCAAAAGGTCTCTGCTCTCCGCCTGTTGTATAGACTGATGTCTGGTCGTGGTCTACGTCAAGATGCAGCCATGTGCCCCCTGCCGGCTATGCCGTCGCGTCATCGTCGCACATGAGCAGCCTTAGCACAGCATTATCCCCACCAGCTTGAGTTGAATGTCTTGCCATAGACGCCTGACTAACTTCCGCGCTCTTTCCCATTGTGCATAGTCATGTGCGGCTACATGCCTACAGAAAACTTTCTCTCTCTATACATGTACTTATACCTCCCCACCTCTTTCTCTATCTATACGTGTATCTCGCCAACTCTTTCTCTCTCTCTCCCATATCTCTCATTCACCTATCGCTCTCTCTCTCTTCCTGACTCTATGTTTCGGTCTCCCTGTCCGTCTTTGTTTCATTTCCTTTTCTGTCTGCCTCTGTCGGTCTCTCTCTCTCTCTCTCTCTCTGTCTATTCCTTTCTCTATCTATACCTACATCATACGAACAGCTCCCGTGGCGACTTCAACCTCATTCTCACAATTAGGATAACATCATGCTTTTCGCTGTAATTCCCATTTAGTGCTATTTTCTTTTAGGTTTGCGCTGCTATCTGTCCCAATATAAATGGTTCACTGAGTAATCCACCATTTTTTAGGGACGTTCACTGATGGAAGTGTCTGGAAAACTCTTCTGAACACTTTTTTCCTTTTACATTCGTATCCCACACTTATCTCTCTCGTATGTTAAGTTCATGCGTAGTCAATAAGTAATGGGTGCCGCATAGCTTCTCCTCCTCTCTGCGATACTAAAGTTGCTAACTCCGAAACGCTTGTTCATAGACTGCAGACATGGATGTAACGAAAATAAAAAATGAAGTATTCAAACAACCACTGCATTTAAGTGTGAGAATGCATTGCTCATTCGAGTGGACGGGTCTTTGCTAAGATGTGACAACAGACTGTATACTGAAAGCAAATAGAACATGATGCGCTGGAATATCTGGATGGATTGAGTGCTGGCGAGTTGCCCGCCAACAAGTGATTTTGTGCGGAATGAAGCTTCGCGAGGCATACTTCAGAGTGGTAAAGCAGACGAGTTTGAACAAAGCGACAATGCATGCAGTCCAGAGAGTTTCAAAAATGCTAACCAGAATGGCAGTCCGCGTCCAATTAGCGTACAGGGCAAGTTCATAAAAAAAACAGAGGTTACAACAAATGTTCAGGGCGAGTATCTATCGGGTGTGTGGCTCAGCGTCGAGAGCTGGTAAAAACAAAACTAGAAACCATATTTTAATGTTTTTTATCATTAGCCTACATTCACGCTTTCTGCAAATACATACAGGCTGGTGGTCCGCGGCACTCAAGATATCCTATTTTTAGACAGTTGTGTACTTGAACTAGCACTCCTATTTCTGTGACCTTTTCCTGATGATGTGGTATAACACAAATTGGTTATTGCTGAGGCTACCAACAAACTCATTGCAACATATACAATATTAATAAGATAATGTCTTACCGTCCTGTTGCGCGGCGCTCGCTCGCGCACACCAACAATTGAGGTAGATTAATATCACGATGTACAGCCACGGCTGTGACTGTGATGTAGCCATTCGTGTCTCGGTTCGAAACGTCTGCAAACTTGTTCACTCGTCCATATGGTCAAAGAAGTAACCTCCAACTATCGTTTGAGTTGAACAAGAGACTTCAAGCTACCTGCACGTAGCGATGATTTCTCGCGATGTCCGTGGTACTAGATAGTGTGATCAACACAGTGTGATCAACACTCCGTGACCCGCTTTGTTTGTCACCTGCTAGTACAATTGTAGACAGTACACATATTAGTACATCTCTGGTTAGCTTCTGCTCAACAGCTTATTATCACCTGCTTGGGTTTTTTGTACCAACAGAAATGGACGGAAAAGAACAGGCTGCTTACATTCGTTCCTGTCACCGTCTGTCACGATACATGTAATGTTGGTGTGACTGTTGGTTTGATTCCGTACAAAGTACTAGCCCTGCACTTCTACTTTTACCCGTTTTCTTCTTTTTTGCTCGCCTACTCTAAGTCTTGGTGTTGATTTAGCATACATTGGTATCTGCAGAGGACCTGGCGTGCACGACTCAACCTGCAGATGTCCTGGGCTGTCAATGGAGCGTAACAAAGAAAGACCATGGAGCAGGTCGTCTGCTATGCGCAGGACGTGTGACGTGAAGCACAATAACTACGAACGAGAGACTGGTCAAAGGTAAGCCTGCCGTGAACAGGAACCTTGACCGGTAGTGAGTGAAAAGGAGCAGCTGCCCCCCCCCCCCTCAATGTTCCATATCCACTCTAGTAGTGGCACATTCAAGCAATAGCTACTTGTTGGTACGATTGGTGTATCATGCTTGATAAACAACGGATGCGTCAATGGTCTGCGTGACTGCACCATCTACCGGAGCAGCTAGCAGCAGGTTGCGCAATTCAAATGACACTGCGTTCCTTGCGAGTAGCTCGCCATCAGCATAGCTAATCAGGTGGTAGTCATTGGAGCGTAACTCCATGTACTGTACAGTCATGTAGTTTGCCATTGCCCGTAGATAGATGCGTCCGTGCTTGTTCCAAGCAATAGCGTATGGACCTGTTAGAGGAAGGACAATAACAGCTGCCGAGTACTGTTTGACACATCATATCCCCTCACTGCGCCCCCAGGCCAGCAGTGAGGGTCCAGGACAGTGAACTGCAGAACCCGTGTCAGGATTGTGACGCATACATGTACATGAATAGACAAGATGCAAGCAGGTCCCATAGCGTAGTGTCCGTGAGAAATGAATGTTGCTCATTGCAGATTTAAACACAGGGAGGGCTTGGGGCTGGATAGTCCTGGAATACTCAGCAGCACTATAGTAGGGATCTCAGCGCGTGCAGTGCGCAGGGTGTTTGCGCATACATTGCGTCCTCGAGTTTTGAGTGCAGCTCGCGGACACAGCAGAAAAATGGCGACGATCGATTTTCGACATTAGGGGACGCGGTGGACATTAGCGGAATCGTCATCTTCATCGTCGTTCGAACATACTTTGTAATTCCCGCCGAAGGACAGCGTGGCCAAGGCGATATTGCCCCGGTCGATTTTCCTAAAATTTTCCATGCGGCAAGAACCCACTTTAGAGAAGATTCAGTTAAAAATTAAGAGTTTTTTTCCGGTTAGATTGTCCTAACTTCGATTTTCAGTGCATCAGCCATCGCGAACATCGCCGCCATTATCACTCGGAGAGAAGACATCGCGCTCAGTAGAAGAGGTGTTCACGCTGCGTCCAAGAGTGAAAGATTGTGCTCTTTGACCCTCCATAGTTCCTCTGAGAGAGTGTCTGGGAGATAGGTAGCTTGGAGATGGCCGTAGACCGTGCTTTCCTGGATGCAATATTCAGCCATTTCCACTGTCTTCTTCAACTTGATTTATTTCGAAAAAATGTTCTTTTCCACGATTTCTGCACTGGACGCATTTGGGATCGAAAATCTCACCTGCGCAGACTGGCTGCGCAGTTCACGCGCTGAGATCCCTAACTATAGCAAAAGTTAACGTGGTCCCTTGTCAGGTACATTGTAGTCATATACCCAACAGTAACATATGTCAGCAGTAGAACATGTCTAGCGGGAGGAAGATTCTATCAAAGGCGCAGCAAACTGTAGCGCAGAGGTCTTAAGCTGAGATTTAGCAAGACGGGTTGATGATTGCGAGACTAGACACTCAACCCGATAAATACAGACCATTTCGAGAGTAGGAGAGGTCCCCTCCGTGACACAACATGAATCTACTCGTGGAAAGCCAGCAGATGAAACCGCAACAACCTCAGGATAAGAAACAGGAGCTGAGGACATCGTCCGAAACGAGCACTAACTTCAAACTCCAGCAAACGAAATCCTCCCTCCTATAAAAAAAACCTTCAATCTGCAATTTGAACAAATTATCTATCTGTTGGCAACCAATGATAGCGCCAAGCCCCAGGTTCGTGCAAGACACCAGCAAGAAGCTATGTCATCCATTGATTAAGGTGCGAGCCTGATTTACACATGAAACAAACTGCAAAGGAAGACGTTTGGGGTACTGCAGTGACGATTTAGTGCTGGTGATAACGCTGCACGCAAAACACGCAAGGTGAAGAACCATGCCTTCTTCAGCAAAAGAGGCCACCACTGCAGTAGCTACACTAGCCTACAGTCGCAGCAGCCACCGGGCAATTGATCCCGTTGCCAGACGCGAGATCATTACTTTGGGGGACGGATCCTGGCTTCCCGCAAGTGGTTTTCAGTCACATCTGGCTGCGGCCTTTCAATTTTGGTCTTGTTGCTATTTTTTCTTTTTTTTATAATCACATGCCCAACTCGTAAAATGACAAAGAAAGACAATGGTACTGAGACAAGGACAAACGTGACAACTACTGAGAAGGGGCTGCACAGAGGTGCAGCAGTGATGATGGGGCTCTGCCGACCTGAGGTCTCCGCATCTCGGCCAGAAACCCGCACCAAAAACAAAAGATAGAGCTGTAAGGGTCAGCAAAATAAAAATAAAGCAAAGGCCAACAATAGCTAGTACTAGTGTGCAGCGCATTAGTAGCAATGGTAGTCCTTGACGAGGCACTAGAATGCAGGTTGGTCGACAGGCAGAATGTCCGTGGACCTTCGCCAATCCTGTCGGCGGAGGTATTCGTTGACGATGCAATTAAATTTTGGAAGATTTTTGCGAGTTGGGGCGGTGTCTAGACGAGCTGGCGGCAGGGAATTCCACAGCTGGATTGCACAATACGGGAGACTGCGGACAATGGTGTATGGTGCTTGAGGCGATAAGGGATTTCTTAGCTGGTAACTGTGGCCATGCGAAGATCGTTTCGAGTGCGCTTGGAGTCACAAGGCATTGCGGGCTATGTCTGGGTGTGCGCCAGTACTATGTAGTGAGAACGTTTTGTGAGACAGGAAATGTGTACGCCTGAAACCAAGAAGTCATGCTCAATTCACACAATGTATAGTCCTCGTACTAGGCTCGGGATTGTCCGGGAAGTGTATTGAAGCGAGTCGTTTACATAATATGACTCCCTGCCATAGATCCTCATAACTGTATATACGTTATAATTATTATGCTATCGGCCTACATGCGATTCCCTTGCTGGTTGACAGGCGGCCCAGCCAGCCTGCTAGTGGGATCTCGGCCTCGTACACAAATCCACACAAAATGTTACTGCACTGAATGCATTCCCCCGATACACTTCGCATACCGTATATTCTCTATTATAAGCACAGGTCTCCATTACTAGCACAGTCTCTAATACTAGCACACTGTGAGCACCTTTCGAAACATTATAAGCACGGTCTCTATTATTAGCACGGTCTTGGTGGAAATCAATGTTGCATGCATGATATCTAGCATGTATTTCTTCTTGGTCTGTATGGATGTATTGGTTGAAAAAATATAAGCACGGTCTCCAATATAAGCGCGGTCTCCAATATAAGCGCGGGGTAGAGGGGTGTTGAAAAAATATAAGCACGGCGCTTATAATAGAGAATATACGGTATATACTCATTCTCTTGATGGTACCGTACTTTTGATGGTACGGGACAGGTACGGGATAGCGCCAGGCATGTCGATGGCACAAACAAAAATATTGTGGCGAGCTGTCTTTGCTGGTACGGTACAGTACGGTACAGATACGGGATAGCGCCAGGCGTGACACAAACAAACAAACAAACACCAAATTAAAGCTGTGTGGACCCTGGCTAGCGCCAGACGTTACTGAAGTAACGTCTTCTGCATAGCTACGGGAATTAAAGCTGTGTGGACCCTGGCTAGTGCCAGGCGTTACTGAAGTAACGTCTTCTGCATAGCTACAGGAATAATAATACTGCAGGTCGCATGTCTCCCAAATAATGGGTTCTACGCATCTGTCAACTGTTTCGTCGTGAAATAGATTGCAGCAGGAAGAATAGTACGAGGAAATGTGGAGAGCAAACCCTTTCTTACAGGTAGAATAGCATACGAAAAAAAAACATAATACCGGTTCTAGCACTTGACAAGTACGTGCCATATTTTTTACACCGATGTTATTGGAAAGTCTTGCTGTCTGAAGCCTTTCCATACTGGTACTCGATGTTCCAGTTTTGTGACACGAGAATGGCACGAGAATTAGTGTACCGCTGAGTGTACCGCTATACACGTGGTCGACACGTAGTCGACACGTTGTTGATACTTTTTTGACACGTGACCCCGTCAACGGTCTGCTTTGTGCCAATGCCACTCGGTAAACGCCGATGCCGCGTACGACAAAGACGACTATCCCGTACGCGAAATAGTTGAGAACTGCATGACGTGGACCTGACGGCAAGGACAACTGCGAGGAGACCCCTTTCGGTCGACGGGAAGGAGAACTGCATGCAGAAGTCGACGAAGTCGAACGAGGAGGCCCCTTTCCGTACCCCGTACTGCAAAGTGCCATTGATGGATGCCTTTTGCACCTGGAACGACCCCTTAAACGCTGTCGCGGCGACTATCCCGTACGCTAAATAGTTGAGAACTACTGACGTGGACCTTTTGCACCTGGGACGGCCCCGTAAACGCTGTCGACGATGTCGTGTCGGCGGAGTGAATGTGCAGGGTGAAAAGAATTGCTGCAAAGACGTCCGCTCTAGGCCTTTGGAGACATCGTGGGAACTCATTCCGGTACTATACAAACTGCTTACGTGGCCGTGGACATGTACATGGAGACATGGTGGGACTTCATGTATATGATATGGTGGGAATTCCTTCCGGCACCCCCGTACCGCAAAGCCAACGGTGGGGAAGGAGAAGAGCAGACGTGCAGGAAGACGAACGAGGAGGAACCAGGACGAGCGAGCAATGGCAGGACTAGCTGGACCGTAAGTAGTAGCTGAATTGTGCATGACAACTTGACATCCGTGCGGCACTCGCCACTTGCCACTGGATATTATTTTCTTGTCCACTAACAATGTCTCTCCTCTGCCCCCTGTGTGTCCACGGCCCTGTTGCTGAATTGGCCCGATGAATCGAATGTCTTCCGCAACTGGAACGGCCCAGTAAACGATGTCGCGTCGGCGACTGAATGCGCTGGAGGGAAAATATTGCTGCGAAGACGTTTCCTCTAGACCACGGTAAGGCAACCCATTGATATGTTGCCAGTTACCTTCTACTAACACGTTATCAGGTGGAGAGTGTCTTGTACTCACGTTATCAGGTCGAGAGCGTATTGTAGTCACTCTCTCTATTCCTGTACTTCATTACTTTTAAGGTGTACGTATAACTTCTCAAAAAAACTGGTCTACAGTCGTGTCGGAAGGGTACGGTGGGACTGTAGACCTGTTACCTTCTAACACGTTATCACTATATCAGGTCGAGAGCGTATTGTAGTCAATCTCTCTATTCCTGTACTTCATTACGTTTCAGGTGTACGTATAACTTTTCCAACAAATTTAATGGTTCACGTCTTCAGATAGAGAGCGTATTGCACCCACTGTCTAGTCTCTGTAGTGCATTGAGATTTTGTTGATCGCACATGAAAATGGATACACAGGCAAAGCAGGCCAAGTACATGGCGAGATGTCGCCAGAAGAACGTCTTCAGATAGAGAGCGTATTGCACCCACTGTCTAGTCGATTTTGTGGATCGCACATGAAATGGATACACAGACAAAGCAGGCCAAGTATATGAGAGAGTGGACGATGTGCGGATCGACACGGCCTGCGGGTACTTCATTAAAGTTACCCGTGACATAACTAGGATAAAAGTTAATCACTGCAAAGACATTGCCAAGTATGTGAGCACTTTGGACTTGACAGAAGAGTGCAAGGGCGACGTTGACAAAACATACCGCGGTGACTGTCACCATCATGACGGCAGGGCACATCGCACGCAGCATCGCAGATCGTGTCGAATTGCGCATCATAATATTGCAAAATTGCTCCTGTGCATGCAAGTGGATTTCATTGCACTTCTCAGTTTGGGAAATGCTCGATTATGACAATTCTGCGTGTGAGTGCACTAGCCCTGAACATACATGTAGGTGACCCGTTTGTGGTGTCTCATAGCTAGCCCTTTCCCAAAGATGCTCGCCACTTTTTTCGGAACTTTTCGGTGTTTAGGAAGAAATCGCAACTTTCACAACTTTCTTCATTTTTCGGAACTATTTCGCAATTTCTCCGCAACCTTGGCGCAATTTGCCCCCATGGCATGGGGTCGAAAGGTCAAGTCACCGACTACATGTTGCATTGTTGGACAAATACATACTCGTGCTCGCTCATTTCTCGCCTGCCTTCAGGCTCATTTCTGAGAAACAGTAGATCAACGGTAGTTACGATAATTATGTGCATTCCCTTTTCGTGCACTGTAATGATGTACATGTACATGTAGGATACATGCAACAGGCTACTGGCACTGTGTAAAATGGTGGTTCACAGCAGGAAGGGGTGTACGAGTTTGCTGTCGCAGCATCGCTGCATTTCTGCTATTTCTGCTCCCTGTTTTGTAGGTTTTGCACAAGAACTCTCCAATTTTGAGTTGCGATGTTGGCAACTTTTGAGCTTTTTCTGAAAATATGGATGCGATTTCAGCAACTAGCACTTGTTTTGGCACGGTTGCGAAAAGCATAAGTTGCGAAAAACTATGGCATCTTTGGGAAAGGACTACTCATAGCCTACCTCACGACCTTCTGCTTTCTTTCTTCATCACTTGTATCTTGCAGGTATATCATCCCGTGACGACCACATTGAAGTCTGAATTTGAAGTGTGAAGATGCTTCAGCAACCACATCGTACTTTTCCATTGCTTTCATTGTGCTTCTACTGTGCATGTGTGTAACTTGTGGGGTAAACATGTCATGACATTGTATGGTGGCGACACGGTCAGATGTTGTCCATGCGTCTAACGTACACGTGCATGTTATGCATTGAAAAGGATTTGCCACTTGCGATCCTGGGACGAGTATCAGGTCAGTTTTGTCCTGTCTGGGCTGTATCAGATTGCTGTTCACTTCTCTATCTGTTGGATGTGTGACTTTCTGCAAGTTTCTGGTGTATGATGGCCACTTCCTTTCTTGTCACTTTGTATGATATTACATTCTGTATTCGCTGCTTCCATGGCGTGGTCTGCAAACTGCAATCCTTGGGCAAATGTCATGTTTGCTATGTTGTGCTTTGGCCGTCAGCTTGTCTACACGCTGTAGTTGAATTATTTTTGTTTCACAACTGACTTCCTCAAGTACGGTGGCCACTGCTTTGCATGGCATTATATATGAAGAATTTCCTGTTTGTGTCGTGCGTATGTGTGCGCGGCCACGTGTGTGTGCCGTGTGCATGTGCGGATGTGTGCGTGGCCACGTGTGTGTGCCGTGTGCATACGCATGTTTGTGTATCTGTGTGCGGGGTAGCGAGGCGGGGAGGGCTGGTATGTATCAGTATTTTATTGCAGTCTCATGGCTACATACAGTACATCGCGCGTGGTCATCATGTTTATCTTCGGGGTTGGGGTGGGGAGGGAACGGAAAAAGAGCTGAAATTATCCATATAAAACCGCTCTGTGAGCGGTTCTGAAAAACCTTTACTGGTACTGCCCCGTCGTAAAAGTAGTAGTAGTAGTAGTAGTAGTAGTAGTAGTATTTATTATTTGACTAGGGGAGTCCCAACAGGCATGGCCTTGTTACAGGGAACCCTAGATGAATCTTTGTGAGGTGAGCAAAAGTACCAGCAGATTGTGCCTGACGACAGTTTGGAGGAAGAGTGTTCCACCGACCTGCCGCCAGAAAAGAAACTGAGCGCAGTCCATACCCAATATGTACAGTAGGTAATACTAAGGCAGCTGTATCCTGGCCACGAGTACGAGCATTTGTGTGCGGGCCAACTGAACGCAGGAGAAACAGTGACTGAAGGAGGGGGCTAGTAATTGATGACAAGCAGCGATAGACCAAAACGTATAGTTTCAAATTAACTCGTTGCTCAAACGAATACAGATGACACCGTTGTAAAACTAATGCAGTTGGGGTCATTCTATCTAAACCAAATGCCTTCTTCATCGCAATATGGCTGACCGTCACAAGCCTGTTATATAGGGTAGTTTTCAAACAGTGCACATACGCATTACTTGCATATTCTAGAGTAGACTGTATAATTGACAAGAAGAAAGTTCTCCGAGCTGTAGCTGATAAATTGCGACGGCCATGAGCAAAACAGGCTAGTTTAGCGAAGACCACTGAACACACCTTTTCTACTTGTGGGCGGAACGTTAGATGCTCATCGATTAGTATACCGAGGTATTTCACAGTAGAGACAGGGGAAATGACAATACCTTTACAGGTCAGGTACAGGGCTGGGCTCAGTGCAGGCAGGGCAGGACGTCGTATCAACATGAACTATGTTTTAGTGGGGTTGAGCAGAAGGCCTTTCTCATCAAGGTATTGCTCTAGCAACCGCATACTATCCTGCAAGCGTAGCATAATTGTAGCCACATCAGAGCCGAATACGTAGAACGCAATATCATCAGCGTACAGCTGCACGACACACTGGTGAAATATATCGGGTACCCGGCGAATGTAGACGCAGAAAAGCAAAGGCCCAAGAACAGACCCCTGGGGGACCCCTCTTGTACAGGGTTTGGTGTCACCCTTCTCACCATTGACAGTAACCTGCTGGCTGCGGTTCGTGAGATAGTCTGAGAACCACTTGAGGACAGTGCCGCCTAAGCCAGTGGTGGCTAGCTCTCCCAGCAGACCTGTGTGCTGCACACGGTCAAACGCCTTGCTCATATCCGCAAAGACTACTCCGCATTGGTCACCGTTGTCAAGTGCTCTGTTCCATCTGTCTATGCAAAGTGTCAGGGCATCCTCACAGCTATGGGGTGAGCGGTACGCAAATTGTTCAGCTGGTATGGCTGACAGGTCTGGATTCTGGGTGAAATACGAAGTGACTTGCTTGTGGACAACCTTCTCTAGGATCTTGGCCGCGATAGGCAACAGCAAGATTGGCCTGTAGTTGGTGGCTGAGGTCTTATCACCAGATTTGTAAACAGGGCAGACATGGGCATGTTTGTAGGCAGCTGGAAAGATGCCAGAGCGAAGAGACTGGTTGACGATAACAGTTAACGGATACGAGACTGAATCTCTGCAGGATTTCAGGATGCAGGACGGAATATCATCGGAGCCGGTGGCTTTGTTGGATACCAGAGATTCAAGCAACTTGGAGATGGTATCGACGCTGACGGTATCAAACTCCAAAAGAGTAGTGCTATTGGGGTCTGCAACGGGTAGGGGCAGCTCGACTGGTCTGGCAGGGTCATGGACGATCTCGGCGAAGGTAGTTGTCAGATCGGCGAGTGTGGCTGCTGGGGCAGCCCTCACTGCTGTTCTACCAGACAAGCTATTGATAATGGCCCATTGGCCTCGTGGGTCGTGGCGACGATTTTTGAACTCTCTGATGTAATACTGTGACTTCAGCTGCCTGTTGAGGAGAGTGCCTTCTCGCCGTATTGCACGATACCTCTGCAGAAGCTGTTGATCTGACGGGTGAGTGCGTACTTTTCTATGTAGGTGGATTCGTTGCTGGAGGAGGTGTTTCAACTGAGGTGTCACCCATGGCTGAGGCTTCGGTTTACTGAAAGCTGGTGAGACCACGGGGCAGATCGGTGAATGTTTGTCTAAAACTCGAGTAATACAGTGTTAAAGCTGGGTGACTTGTGCATTGACATCAGCTGACTTGGGGAGAGGCTCCAGAGTGCTGTCGATATCATCACAGAGTGTAGCGGGGTCAATTGCATGTGGGAGCGGTTTGCGCACGAATTTGAGGCGGGAGTTAGCTTGCTGCGTGGCTTTGTAGGAGAAGTTAGTCAGAACGAGATCATGGTCGCTCACGCCGTCTACAGATACTACAGTTGTCTTAACATGTGGTGCGGCAGCATAAACGAGTATTAGATCCAGACATGTCTTGGCAAGTCGCGTTGGTGAAGTCACGACATTGCGGAGGTGAAACTCCTCACACAGATTGGACAGGTGCTTGTAATGGTGGTTATTTGATGATTGCTGTAGCACATCAGTGTTAAAGTCCCCTAGTACAATAATCCTGCTAAATTTACGGCTGATGACGTCAAGATGCTGACTGCACAGGTTCCAGAAGTCGACAGTTGCACTCGGTGGACGATATATACTGCACACAGCCAGCTCAATAGCCTTAGGTTTGGTACACAGGCGAAGACGAACAGAGACACACTCCACTCCTAGCTCAGTGATGGGAATTCTGATAGAGTGAATAGCAGAATGTACATAAATGCATACCCCTCCACCATGTAGATCTCTATCCTTGCGATATAGATCGTAGCCTGGTATATGAACACTAGAATCGGGTATGCTGCTCTTTAGGTGGGTTTCATTCACTGATAGCACGTGGATCTTATGGTGGTGCAGGAGATGGTGAATGTGATGGACCTTGTTTCTGAGACTACATATATTAATGTGAGATATGGTGAGTTGGCTTACTGGAATGATGACTTCTTGCTCTTCGGGTAGCAGCACAGGTACGCATATTGGTTTAGGTGTTCTGGTTTGTTTCACGAAAGTCCCACGGGCGAATGTGTATTGGTGCTGGCCAGAACCCATCCTTCTCGATCAGTGCACATTGGTCCTCTCGGATCGTAAGCCGTGCAGCCTTTGTACCAATATGCTTACGAGAGGGAAAGGTGCGGCATGCTGTTGGTGTGATACCATTGTGCTTGCAGTGGGCTATTATGGTATCCGCGGTGCAGCTGCTGTCAATGTTACCAACAAAGTATAGTTTTCGGAGTGAGCCAAGTGATCCTTTCAAATTGCGGTTAGTAACCTCAGTCCATTCCTCATCGTTTGGCTGCTGCTGCTGCTGCTGCTGTTGTTGTTGTTGTTGTTGTTGTTGTTGCTGCTTCTGGCGCTGTTGTTGTTGTTGTTGTTGTTGTTGTTGTTGTTGTTGTTGTTGTTGTTGTTGTTGTTGTTGTTGTTGTTGTTGTTGTCGCTGTTGGGGTCGTTGGTGCTGGTTAGTTTGCTGGCGGTGCTCCTGTGGGAGAGGTGGCTGCGCAGTGACCGATGGCTTGGAGGAGGGCAGAAATGCTCCGTTGTCACTGGAGCTATTGAGCACTGATGCCCATACGCGCTGCTGGGTCGTGGATCTGCAAGTGCTACAACTTGTAGTCGTATCCATGTGGTTGGCTTGCTGCATTTGCAGCCCATGTGCACCCGGCTTGGATACGGTATCGCCCGCCTTTTTGAATGGGGTCGGTGCAGTGTGTTGTACATGCTCTACTGACTTGAGGCGCCCTTGGTTGGCTTGCTGCATTTGCAGCCCACGTGCACCCGGCTTGGATACGGTATCGCCAGCCTTTTTGAGTGGGGTCGGTTCAGTGTACATGTGTTGCATATTATGCTCTACTGACTTGAGGCGCGCTTCCTGTTCCTTACACTTGTCCTCCAGCGCAGATATACGGGAATCTGATTGCACCGTACTAATAGGCGTATGCGTGTGTGCAAGGTCAGCTTGCTCTTTTCTAATCATGGAGAGTTCCCCTTGCATGTTGACGATTGCCGAGGAGATCCCTGAAAAAACTTCCTGAAGGGCGGCCAATTCAGCCTTGACTGTCCCAACTATTTCGGTCTTGATGCTTTCGATCAGGCCATTGACATCTAATATGGTGTCTTCGGGAGGCGAGATAACCTCTAAGTCACTTACCGGCGACTTGCTGCCTGCATCTCGACCGCATTCCGTAGGGTGTGTGATTCTGCCCGCAGAACACACGTTCGCCTCTCCAGTAGAGTCACCAGCAGACCGAGAGTCTGTGTCGTCCTCTTCAACGTAGAGATCAAAGCATGGCTTCCCAAATGCCTGCTTTGGGGTTACCGATCCTTGCTTGTAGCTATCGTTTGGATATGAATAGTCGATCAACGGCATGTTCACAGCTCAAAAAATGCAACTGCACTCTACGTTGACACCGTTCAGCTCAAAAAATGCAACCGCACTCTACGTTGACACCGTTCGTAAAAGTAAGAAATTAGAACTGGTCCATTATCCTCCCAAATGCGAACTGATCCACCTAAATCGCGAATGACGGGACCCGAACGCACCAGTAGCACGAGGTTAGTAGTAGTAGTAGTAGTAGATTTTATTATTTTACTAGGGGAGTCCCAACAGGCGTTGCCTTTTTACTGGGAACCCTAGGTGAATTTTTACCATGTTTACATACAGAGTAAGAGACGGGGCCTGACGGCAGTCAGTGGGAAGAGCATTCCATCTGTCTGCCGCCAGGAAAGAAATAGAACGCATGCCATATTGCGTAGAAACAGGCGGAAGAACTAATGCGCGCTGTGCCTGGCCGCGCGTGCGAGCCTGGTGTCCAGGCACAGCAGCCCTAAGCTGGAACAAGGATTGGAGAAGGGGACTAGCAAGATGTGGGGTCAAGCAGCGGTACACGAAAACATAGAGTTTAAGATTTGTGCGCTGTTCAAAAGAATAGAGATGATATTTGCGGAGAACAATTTCAGTAGACATCATACGGTCAAACCCAAAAACTTTCTTCATTGCTATGTGACTGACCGTCACGATTTTATTGAACAGGGTGGCGCTGAGACAGTGCAGATAAGCGTTACTGGCATAGTCGAGAGTCGATTGCACAATGGATAAATAGAACGTCCTCTTCGCTTCAGGTGTTAGGTTTTTTCGGCCATGTCTGAAGGCGGCAATCTTGCCGAACACCGCACCGCAGACCTTCTCGACTTGCGGCTGGAAGGTGAGGTTCCTACCTGTGGATGCAGATGGGGACGTTGGTCCGGACCAAAGGCCATGTACTGTACTAGCGGTAGGTGGTGTTACTCTATGATAATTGCTGTCCTGTGCCCTCCCGACCTCGTGCTACTGGTGCGTTCGGGTCCCGTCATTCGCGATTTAGGTGGATCAGTTCGCATTTGGGAGGATAATGGACCAGTTCTAATTTCTTACTTTTACGACGGGGCAGTACCAGTAAAGGTTTTTCAGAACCGCTCACAGAGCGGTTTTATATGGATAATTATTATTATTATTATTATTATTATTCAACGCAATAAATAGAGTAAGCTGCGCACTCAGTACAAACACCATAAGCAAAACTTGTTTTCATGTATAATAAATAAGCTTGTTCCTAAACGTTTTCGTCGCCATCTCATCAGAGGATTACTGGCAAATCAACAAAAGCTCTTAACTCAATATATATACGCACAATGCAAGTAATAATTTGAGTTAAGAGCTTTTGTTGATTTGCCAGTAATCCTCTGATGAGATGGCGACGAAAACGTTTAGGAACAAGCTTATTTATTATACATGAAAACAAGTTTTGCTTATGGTGTTTGTACTGAGTACGCAGCTTACTCTATTTATTGCGTTGATTACATTTTTATCTCCACGGAAGCTTTTTAATTATTATTATTATTATTATTTTAACTGGTTTGAGGGAAAGAGACAAATGGGGAAAGTCCGAAGAAAAAATTGACTGTCACCACCAGGACTCGAACCAGGGACCCTCGCTTGTAGCCAGCGATGCTCTAACCACTGAGCTATGGTGTAGTCATCATCCACAATCACGATGACATAGTGCCAATAAGCATGTGATGCGGGCGATTTTAACCAGCCATGGTGGGGACAACTGAGAAAAAGAAGGAGAAGAAGAAAGGGAAAAGAAAACAAAACAAAAGGAGTACTATAGGAACCTGGAGAGAGCAGCATGAAGATAAGGCTAGCAATGGAAAACAACGAATCCAATTCAATTCAACTTAGGCGTGGGCAGAATGGAACAAAATGCAGCGAAGGTGTCACGAGACTTTACCTTCTGCGGAAGCCGAGACCAATGAGAATAGGACTTGAACAGAGGGGATTTTAAAAGGATCGATGACCTGGCAAGTGGGAAATGGAGAGAACATCTAGTACGCGAGCTATTATTGAACCAGCTTAAATGCGCAAGTGCATGAGGAGGAGCAAGTTGAAGCTTAATACGGTGAATGAATTTGCATGCCGAGTGGGGAAAGCGTTCTGAGAGAGGGGAAGAGGAAGCCAAAATGTACAGCGTCTGAGAGGAGGTCAGAGGGGGCATGCGAAATATTAATCGAAGTAATTTACGGTGGGTGACTTCTGACCGATGCATAAGAGCGGAGGATAGACCGGAGGACCAAACGAGAGAGCAGTAATCAAACAAAGGAAGAACATAAGAGTGATAAATTTGTATTCGACAGCCATGGTGTAGATGGGAGATGTGAGGAGAAATGCAGCCTATCGCGGAGCAAACTCGCCTTTTAATGTAGGTACATTTTGTCAATGAAGTCCAGCTATGGCTTTTTGTCCCGTGCAGTGTTGAGGCAATCCTCGAGCGTGTGTCCAAGAGGGGAGATGTCGGAGTTCACCACATCAATCCACTGAAGCCTCGGTCGTCCTCGCGGACGCTTGATCCTTGACGTGTCGATGGCCATGGGTAGCCCGCCATAGGAAGCCGTGCCCGGACCTTCTCGAGCAACATGGCCGAACCATAGGAGACGTCTTTTCTTGCAGACCCTGCTGATTGGTTGCTGTTTAGATTTTTCATACATGATTTGGTTGGATATGTAGTGAGGGTAGTGGACTCCGAAGATATAACGGAGCTTTCTTCTCTGCCATACATCTAGCTGTTCATTCTGTCGCTTCGTGAGGGTCCACAGGCCGCAGCTATACAGCAGCACTGGACCAATGAAAACCGAGAACATGCAAAGCCGTGAGTCCAGACAATGCCGCTTCCATGCTTTCGATTCGAATGCTCGGTTCGCTGCACCGATCCTGGATGCAACATCCTCCGTGGAGTCCAGCAAGGAACCAAAGAGCTTGACCGTTTTCCACGATGCATCAGTGCGGGTAGCAGTTATAAATATACGGTTTTTTGTACGTTAAGGTTGAGGTTGTCTTCTTTGAAGATCAGCTCACATGTGGCTACCATGGTCTCCACAGCACTCCTCGATGATGCGTGCATATTTGTATCATCTGCGTATTGTGTTGAAGGTGAGGGTACATCTTGAGTTCTTGCTAGGCTACTAACTGCATCGATCTTCCGCATGGCTCCTTCGACATACATATTGAACATAGTGGGCGATAGCGGGTCCCCTTGCACGAATTTAATGTTCGTGGCGAAGGCCTCTCCATGCTGGCTGGAAATTTTTACTCTGGCTGTTGTGTTTGAAATCAATGGTGATACAGTCGATGTCTGCGCCCCCGCCTCCATCATCCTGTCCAGTGCTGTACTCCTTACCAGGGTGTCGAATGCACCACTAAAATCCAGCAGCGCTGCTGAATATGACCAATCACCAAGCATTGCGCGTTCACACAGATTAGAACACACCGTCTGCTGTTGAGCGGCCTGGTCTGAAAACTGCTTGGGACTCCCCTACGTAACTGTCTGCTGCTGTCCGCGTTTGAAGGTTCGGAATACATGTCAGCACTTTCCTCACCACAGATAATAGCGTGATGGGGTGCTCAATGGCCTGGAGGAATTATTCATGTTTGCGATCAATATCACCAAGAGTGCGGTTCTTCCGTCTACGCATCTCTTTTTGGCTTGTGGATTGGCTGAAAAGAAATAAAAAATAATACAGAATTATCACTCCCTTAGTATTGACTCACATAGATTTTCGCCATACCTAAGCAGTCAAATATTCCTGCATATTTCACTCCTTAGGCCTATATTGACTGCTTAGATTTGACTGCTTAGGGGTTGCGCAGTTGAACGGTGCCTAGTGCAGCATTGTCACCTGGTCACTGCATGAGTAGGCCGTGGTGCAACGGTTGTGCAATCATAAAACCGAGATTCATGAGGTTATCGTTCTGGAATTTGAAGTACGGACTGTTTCTCGTGATAAATCTAATATTGACTTCGTACTTGGTCAGTATAGGAAATAAAAACCTCGTAAAAGACCTCGGCTTCGCCTCGGTCTTTTACTCAGCTTTTATTTCCTATATTGACCTCGTACTCAGTCAATATTAGATACATACTTGTGTCGAAGTGTCGTCATGAAAACAAGGTCTACCTCCGTAACTTTGTCAGCAAGTTCACGTGAATCTAGCTGGTAGTCCCGCTAACTATTTGTGTGTGTGTGTGTGTGTGTGTGTGTGTGTGTGTGTGTGTGTGTGTGTGTGTGTGTGTGTGTGTGTGTGTGTGTGTGTGTGTGTGTGGAAACGAGAAACACGTGACCTACATGACAGTGTATACCAGGACCAGGACCAGGTGTGTGTGTGTGTGGAAGTTTTCTCAAGAATTCCCCACTCTGGGGCGGCTCTGGCCTTGTCCAGGGTCGTCCCAGGTTATTTCAGGACCTGTTGAAGTAGATAGGGTCGCGGACTAAGATTCTTGAGGACCAGGGCTTCGCATGATGTTGCCACCTCAAGTTTCTCCGCGCGCCCTTCGTTCGGTGAGGAGTTGCAACCCCCGCGACTGCACGAGATGAGCAGGTTCGAAACAGTACAGGACGTAGACGTTATTTTTCAGTGGGCACCTGGAATGTCCGGTCACTTGTGGAAAGCTGAGGCCCAATTGAAACTTCAGCTGTAACAGGAAAAGTCGTGGAGGATAAGAAAATCGAACGGGTCGTCGCGGAACTCTCCCGTCTGGCTGTGGATATTGCAGGACTTCAGGAGACACATTGGTTTGGTGAACAATCGTATCGAGTTAGTTGCTCTACTATTCTTACATCGGGTCGTCCTGTTCCTTCGGAGGTCTCCAGTCATCGACGAGGAGAAGGTGTTGCTGTCGTTTTGAATTTGAATTCAACAAACGCTTGGAAAGCTGGAGGCTGTGTCTGGAGAGCGTACAGCTCTCGCCTTGTCAACGTACGATTGAAGTTCAAAGTCCAGCGTGCTGTACGCTGGTACACTGTTATTGTGGCGACTTTCGCCAGCACTCGATTGGA